AGCCTTGAGCTGAAGAGCTGAGGGACAGCGCCCAGGCCCAGAGTTCAGGCCCCACGACCAGACCCCCTCCCCCAAAAAAAGGCTGAGATCTGAGGATTGTGGTTCAAAGCCAGCCCAAGAAGGATAGCCCATGAAACTCATCTCCAATTAACCACCAAAAAGCTATAAGTGGAGCTGTGCTCAAGTGGCAGAGCACTAGGCTTGAGAAAAAAAAAACAGAAAAAAAGAAAAGCTCAGGGACAGTACCTAGGCCCTGAGTTCAAGCCCCTCAACCAGCACGGAAGAAAGAAAGAAATAGGGAGGGAGGGGAGGGGAGGGAGAGAAGGGAGGAGGAAGGAAGGGAGGGAGGGAAGGGAGGAAGGAAGAAAGGAAGAAGAGGGGGAGGGAGGGAGGGAAGAAATAAAAAGAAAGAGGGAGAGGGACAGGGAAGAAGGGAAGGAGAGAGGGAGGGAAGGAAAGGAAGGAAAGAAAGGAAGGAAGGCAGGGCACTCATACCTGTATCCTGGCTACTACTGAGGCTGAGATCTGAAGATCACAGTCCTACACCAGCCAGGACAGGAAAAGTCTTGGAGACTCTAATCTCTAATTAACTACCAAAAAAAAAAAAAAAAAAGCCAAAGTAGAGCTGTGGTTCAAGTGGTAGAATGCTAGACTTGAGCAAAAGAAGCTCAGGGACAGCGCCTAGACCCTAAGTTCTTGCCACACACTCACCCCTCCCCCGCAAACAAAGACAAAAATAAATATTTAAGGATTATTTCAAGGTTTATATATTTTTAGGATTTTCTTTTTTCTTTTTTTGGGTCCGGTCCTGGTGCCTGAATTCTTGGCCTGGGCGTTGTCCCTCAGCTCTTCAGCTCAAGGCTAGTGCTCTACCACTTGAGCCACAGCGCCACTTCCGGCTTTTTTCTTTTTATTTATGTGGTGCTGAGGAATTGAACCCAAGGCCTCATGCATGCAAGGTAAGCACTCTACCACTGAGCCACCTTCCCAGCCCCTATATATTTTTAGGATTTTCTAAAATAAAACAAAATAGAATTATTTTATAATATCTCAGCACCAATTGAAAAACAAAAGAAGAGGCTACCCAGATATAGGCCAAAATGGTACAGCCAAGACATTGTAAAATAAAAAATTTGTCACAGGGAATCAACTATGAATGACTGTTACTAAAAAAAAAAATAAGATCAATTTATTTCTAAATTTGTTAGAACAATTAGGCTCAACTACCTATGGTTACAAGTATAATCTCTCTCTATATATATGTATATATATATCCTATTTGTCAATTACATAATCTAGGATAATTTCATGGTCCATTTCAATATGATTGACATAAACTCAATCTGCAAATGGGAGACTAAGAATCACATAGATGTAATGACAATCCCAAAGAAAAATTGATCCAGTAACAGCAAAAGAAAGGAAGAAATCTCATTACCTCTTCTTCATTCTCATCCTCTTCTTCAAGCACATGTTTCAATACAATTTCATTTGCTTCTTCAGGAATTTTATCATGATTTATATACATATTCTTTCCAAATTTCACATTAATTTGTTTCTGCAGAGTAACACTGAAGGTTTTCTGCTGTTGTGCCTATTTTAGAGATAACAAACTTCATATTATTTCAAAATTTGTTCTAGTTAATATTAATCTAATTTCCTTTTTGTTTTGTTTCATAAGACAGGACTCTTGCTATGTATCCCAAAATAGCCTGACACCCACCATGTAGCAGAGGCTAGCCTCAAACTCAAGATCCTCTAACTTTAGGGTCCTATGTGCTAGGATTACAGATATGTACCAGTACACAGATGTGTATAAAAAAATGCACTCATACTAATGTGGGGTTTTTGTGTGTATGTGCTAGTCCTGGGGCTTGAACTCAGGGCCTAGGCACTGTTCCTGAGCTTTTTTGGCTCAAGGCTAGCACTCCACCACTTGAGCCACAGTACCACTTCCAGGCTTTTCTGAGTAATGAATTGCAGATAAGAACCTGATGGACTTTGCTGCATATGCTAGTTTCAAACCACAATCCTCAGACCTCAGCCTCCTGAGAAGCTAGGATTACAGGTATATGCCACCAGTACCCAGCTAATATTTTCTTATTTTTATTTTTTATTTATTTATTTTTGCAAGTCATGGGGCCTGAACTCTGGGCCTGGGCACTGTCCCTCAGCTCTTCAGCTCAAGGCTAGCGCTCTACCACTGGAGCCACAGCGCCACTTCCAGCTTTTTCTGCTTATGTGGTGCTGAGGAATCGAACCCAGGGCCTCATGCATGCAAGGCAAGCACTCTACCACTGAGCCACCTT